ACTGGCACAGGTTGCCCAGAAAGGTGGTAGATGCCCCATTCCTGGAAACATTGAAGGTCAGGTAGGACGGGGCTCTGAGCAACCTGATCTAGTTGAAGCTGTCCCTGCTCATTGCAGGGGGACTTGATGACCTTAAAAATTGCCGTCCAACCCAACGATTCTGTGATTCTATGATTCTATGACAGTATCAGTCAGCTAACAGATTTATCTGTTTATTGGGGGAAACCAACAAAAAACCTGCTTAGCTCTTCAACTTTTTTTGCAATATCACTGCCATTTTGAATTTTATTTTCAGTATATTTTTGCATCTAACAAATACTTTGTTTTAAAAACTTCCATGTGGTTTAGGAGAAAATTTTAATAAAAATTTTAAATCGGTGATACCTCAGCTTGCTTTGATTCATATAGCAAACTGCAGTGGTGTTGAAAGCAAACGAACATAAATAGACACCTCGCACAAGAGGTCTGTACTGTACTGCGGCTTTTACAGTGAAGATTGAGCCTCAGTCTGGGCTCTTAGGCATACACCTGTAATAAGAAGTTAAACCAAGTTTTAAACTAAACTTCCTAGTAAGGGCAAATGCTAACAAAAATAAGAGTTATTAAGGAGGGAGGCACTTTTCAATCCTGTGCTGTTAAAGCCTGTAAAAAATTTAGCTATCCCAGTTGGTTACCGCATCTCTAACCTATATAAATCAAAGCTTTGTTTTGAATGAATAAAACCACTTTGGCACACAACCATATCATAGTGGTATGATGCATGCCTGAATATTCCTAAGAATGCCCTCAGAGGTACTCTGTGAGCAGAATCATTCTGCAGAAAGGAAGATGAGGGAGCACAAAGGCCCATTGTGCACGCTAATGCAGAAAAATGAAATCAAATACCATTCTCAGCCAAAGCAGAGTGTCTTCTGAGCAAAGGCTATTAAGCGTGTCAGACTGCAGGATATTTTCTGGACATGGCTATTATGTTAAGACATACTGAACATGTGTCACTTATAACCCTGCCCTGGTTGTAACATCACAGCTCCAGAAGAAAAAAGTCTGGTGTATCAATTCTTTGTATCGAATCCTCACACACACTTCTCCTCTCACCAAGCTGTCACTTCTCATTTGTAAAGAAGGTTAGAGTAAGTAATAATTAGTACTTGCTGCCCTGTCAACTAATTAAATGTAATAAAAAGCTTTCAGTGAGTTTAATGCTAACATGGTGTAATTACAGCTGAGTTTTGAATGCACGGTGCATGTATTATGGGTGTCGGTATGTGCCCCCCACCTTCCATGACCTAAATTCTCAGGTTAAATCTATCGTATGATTAGTGAGCGGGCACTGCCAAAGACAACCACTTCAGACCTAAGTACAAGACAACCACAATCTAGTCCTGTCCATTTTTAAAAGCGCCACATCAGCCTCTGGGGGCAGGGGTGGAAAGGAGGAGGAGAAACAGCCAGCCGGTTGCTTGCTTCCCCTTTCTTCTTCTTCCCTTCCGGAGGCACCCTTGCTCAAATCCTCCCACCCATGAGGCGTCCACACTCTCAGCCTTTTTCCTCCGGTTTGTAAAGAAAAACATGGCTGAGATTTCAAAGCCACTTCCTACCCCACCTCTTTGTCAGTCTGAGGGGCATCCTGGGCAGAGGGGCACCGTGTGCAGCCGCCCTGTTTGCACACCTCCGGGGTTGGCTCTACTCCTTAAGAAGCAAGAGTTACACCATGCAACTACCCGGTACCCAGGGGAGTAAGGAAGACTGCTTGGGAGGTGCAGAGCAGGGCAAAAGTGATGATGGAAACCACGTAATGCTCCAGCATTTGGCTGACATAGTTCCTTAGACTCCTAAGTGTTTGGAAGAGTTATGAACACATAAAAAAAGGTGAGGAGCAGAGCAGCCAGGCTTTAGATCAGCCAGGATGCCGGTAGTTACAGCTCTGAACAGTCATTTGCTGTGCCCACTGCAGTCTTCACATTTTCCCACTCATACTCCTCATTGCTTTCCATCACGTATTTCCAGAAATATGTAAGGTAGGTACAAATAGTCCCTAAAATAAAGACGTAATTCATTGTACAAAAATGTAGCCTAAGAGAATCAATTAAAATGATGAAAATCTTTAATTTTATTTAAGTATAATTGTACTGACACGTGTATATACAAATACAGATCTTACGGGGCAGGGATTTTGGGTGTGTTGTTTTTTTTTAACATTTTCTTTTAAGTTCATATAATGTAAGCATTTCAAAAACAGCACTCAATGAATAAGTGCAAAGAAACTGCAAAGCAGGGCAGTACAAGCACAGGACCACACTGAGCTGGACTTTCATACCCAGATGCATACACAATGAGTGCCTTCAATGGGGTGTCAAGAGTAAGCATGGAAAGCGGATTTCGCAGACTCATGGGTAACCTCCAACATGCCAGCATCTATTAAACTGTACAAACAATGGCAGCAAGCCTATTGTAGGGAGATTTGTCTCACATCCGAGAAGCTCGAGGGCGAATGCATGGGAAAAACTCAGTGATGCCAGACCAGAAACTGATCTGCCCATTCACAGTTCCAAATTAAAAAAAGGAGGAGGGTAGGAGAGGAGGAAGGGCAGGAAGAGGGAAGAGAAGTGTGGAGAGTTGTACATTAAAACTGGTGATTACAAAATCCAAGTGTAATGAAAGGAGGGGAAGAGTTAACACTCTAAGCCTCTGAAAGTGACTGAACCACTGCTCTAACGAGGCAATAGGTTAAGTTCAGTTTTGAGGGCTAGGGGTGGGAATCAACAGGTACAAATACAACCATTTTCCTTCCACAATTATATAGGAAAGGAAACAATCTACTCATCTACTCTCAGTACCTCCCAAATTTGTTTCTAGTTCTTTTGGTACCAAGTACATACATATATCGCACATGACACTGGCAAGATCCTTTGTGGAAAAAACTATTCATGGAAACAAAACCAAAAGGAAAACAGGAGGGAAAAAAATAAAGAAAAAAGAAAGAAACAAACAAAATAACAGAAGATTTCTTATATCCCCAAAGCCTTTTTAGAAACAAACATGATACAAAAGACCAAAAACTAACACAGAAACCACAGGGCTCCAACATCAGACCTTTAAACACTGAGGACAAAACATTGATCATCAAAAGTCATGTTGTTCCAGGTCTTGACATTGTGAAGTCTTGCAACAGATGAACAATTTTCAACGATGAGTCCTGTATGCTGCAGCGTCATGGCCACTTGTCTCTCAGTTCTCAGCCATGATCACACTTGATGCTTCAAAGCTCTGTCTTGTAATCAACGCATGATTTTAATATCCTGAAAGTCTATTGTTCTCACTTACAAAAGACATAAGAATCAAATTAATACTTTATTATCAAACACTATATACAACAGAGGTTGCTAATAATACAGAATTTAAAGAACATAGCTTTAAGTTTTACTTGTCTTTCCTTCGCCATCCAAGTAAGTACAGTACAAAACAATATTCTAAACTAACACGAAATGTTACCTTGTCTATTAAAGGATACACGGTATCCACTAAACTGACTGATCCCTATTTTGCCTCCTTCACACTGCAATGCCCTTGGCAGCCAGGAGTGCAGGTCATGGGGGTAAGTAAGCCACCCAGGCCGAGGGAGAATCAGTCCCTCAGACTTGAGCTGGGGCAGATAAAGGGGAAGGGAGCATAAACCTCCTTAATTTGCACCAACATTTGCATTTAAAGCATCCGGAGGTTTGCAATGCAACACAAAGCCCATCAGCATTTATGTACTTGGTATCACTGGGATTGCCTGATGCTACCAGGTATCAGACCGACAGTGGCTGGTATGCCCCCAGCCACCACAGGCAGTGCAGGGACCCGTCTTGCAGCTGCACCCCTCATGTCACTCCTCATCTACCCAGCAGAGCTCTGCGGTAAAACAAAGGGGTGAATTTCACCAGGAGTAACACTAGTGAAAATCCTCTGCTGTGGATAAATGTACATCTTGAACTCCGACATCACTCAGAGACAAAGGGTGAAGAGTGAAGTCTCCATTTCTACACTAAATTGGCGCTACTGGTATGACTGCCTGCAATTGCTAAGAATCGTTTTAATGTGGTTACCGATTGTGCAATATTATCTGTACTCTGGTTAATAACCCATTCGATAAGGTGCATTGTGATTATCACCTCACCTCATCCAAAGCTTTTAAATTCCTACTGACAGGAAGTATTACTGTGTGTACCAAGCACATCCACATTAAAGAGAGAAAAGTACCAGAGAGCCTGTAATGAGATGACGACTTCCCTCACTGTTTAGGCTGTGTATCTTTACTGTGTGCACTTCAGACTAGAGGAAATTTCCCACATTCTTCCTGTAAGCACAGGCCCTGAATTAAGGAGAGTGTTGTATGGTATCAGGCAAGCCCAGATCATAGTTTAGCATGCATAAACCTCCCTTTACACCTTCAATGTATTCCCCCCTTTCCTCCTTTTTTGAATAATGGGCTGCTTCAACTTTTGGAAAGCTTTACTTCATTTTAAAAAAGCCCACAAAGTGCTGCCTGTTAATGGCATCACTCAATTTTGTTACGGCAGACTTTTTCTTCAGAATTAATATAGAAAACCTTTGTTTTGCTTGAATGCGCTCCATGTTTTGTTTCACATTTAAAATAATTATCACAGCTTTTGTTAGAAAAGCTCTGTTTCAGTCTTGGTCTGGTATTTCCCCGATTATGCTTAGCAGTCCAAATTTCATGGCAGCCTAGCCAAAAAATACCCCAAGGCTTGCACTTCCTGGCAAATGACTTTTTAAAGTTCTGTGTTAGCCAAGGCTCAGATTCCTTAAACAGGGTCACTCCCAATTCCATCAAACAAGACAGTCCCATTTCCTAATTGCATCAAGGGTTACCACTTCTCTCACATGTTTAAATAGGACAAGCATATATACTCACTCTCAGCATAAAGTATATCTAAATAATGTATATTCTATTCTAGTGGATTTTTAAAAAAATATTTTGTTAAGTCTTTGGGAGCCCATCTAGTTTATCTCTGGCTGATAAACACATTTCCTCTACTCTTCAAACTGTGCTGGAAGGGGAAAAGATAAAAATCAACACTTGAATTCATATTCCACACTTCTTTTCTTTCCCCCCACCAAACAATGCTACTAGACTATCCTGGCTTCTTCTACATGTGGTTTATTCCCATGACTGAGGAACTTGCAGGAGAGACAAATCAAGAGCACACTGGAGATCCTGTGTCCCAAACATGTTTCCTCTGGCCACTGATGTCCTCTCTTAGCATCTATTAACACCCAGAGCAGCATCCAAGGCTATCAGCTACTAAGTCAGCGCTGGGGAAGGTCACTTTATTCTCAAAAGTGCCTCTGCATTTCAAGAAAAAAATTGTAGCACCACGGTGATTTGTTTTAAAATAAAATAATCCGGTGTGCATTATCCCCTTAAAACGAAATAACAGAGGCACTCACACCCCCAGTGAAGTTTCCTAAATCTGACCTTGCCTGCTGTGTGCTAGCACTCCTAAATACAAACTTCTTCTCACCAAAGACAGTGTTTCTATTCATGAGCACAATTTTACTGTCAAAGATGTTTCAAGACAGTCCTGTAAGAAACATCGTCTTTCCCTTTCAGAAGCCTGTTCATTTAGAAACTCCTGGAGGACATGGTGTTGTATTATATCTAATCTTAGTATTTCCCCTCCAGTCCTGACATGGTGACACGATGCCTTGCATGATCATCTTATAGTGCTGAACGAGAAGGCATAAATATTGTATCAGAGAGAAAAACTCTCCCAGGCTTTCACTCACTTTCCTTATCCTTCACTGACTGCATCTGCCACTATTCTTCCTTGTCCACATACAGATGACATAGTGAACTAACAGAGGTGACTTCTTAAAGGAGAATGCAGAGGAAAATAAGAATCACTAGTGTCACTATTATAGTTTGGCATTTTCATTTGGAGTCCTTTTATTTATATGGAGGGGTTAAGAAAGTCACAGGGTAGGTAGGGATGGGTGCTGAAGCTAGTTATCCCCTTCAAATTTTTGCTGAGTTCAGGCTAAAAGGGAGAAGAAAAGGGAAAAGGGAAAAATAACAATTTGACATCTGCAAAAACAATAAAGTCCCTTTCCTGGGATGAGCAGTTAGGTGGATCTTTGATGTTCCAAGACCCTGATATTTTCTGCGACAGGTTGCCGGAGCATACTGTGCTATAATATCAAAAGCATTGCCAGGAGGAACAATAGAGTTGCCAAAAGCCGGCTGGGTATCCTTGGTGTCTGTGCCGCGTTCTCACCACGGGATGGCTCGGCTGACTCATGTACGGTATCATCTGTTCAAACAGAAAGCATACATTCCAATGAGATTTTGCATCCTTAATAAACTCTCACTGAGCCGACAACTCTAAGTAGATTGCAGTGCCTTTATGAAATAGGGCAATGAACCTTGTGCTGTCATTGACTTTCACAAGCGTGTAATACCTCATTATGTAAGCAACTTGGGGCCAAGTCCTGCATTTCTTACTGGCAAAACTCCCACTGACGACCAGAGGAGCAGAAAGTAAGTCTGATTTCAGCAGATTGAGGAATGAAAGATTCCTCTTCTAATAAAACACTGTAGCTCTAGCTTTGGATGGCTCATTACATAGCAATGTCAATAGGGAGGCAGCTAAATAAAACCACCTGATTTTCAAAAGGGTTTGAAGAAGAGTTGCACATGCTCAGAATTAATTTCACAGTTAATCCCCTTACTGAGTTACAGATTTTGGCTCCTGAATTTGAAATGACAGCCTGTAAGACCAAGCCTATATTCCACTTCCACGCATAAAATTTCCACCGAAGTATACCTCATCTGGGGATGCGCATGGGATATAAGACCAGTCTCCCTTTCTTGAAACAGAATTTTAAGGGCTAACACATGACAATCTCCGATTTTATAGAATACGTACTCAATCTGGAAAACCTCATAGGTAACAGACTACCTTCTATGGTACACAAAATACAGATTTACATCTATGCTGCTAAAACTAATGAAAAAAAGAACCAGTGGAGCTGGGAAAACATGCTTATACATTAACAACAGAAGAGAACACAGTAGCGAATACTGAATTTAGGATGCCAAATAAAGCTCTGTTTCGTTTTTGTAGACTGAAGATCAGCCTTAAAAGCCACAGTTTGTAACATGAAAAAGCTAGGTAAAGTCCAGTTCAACTTCAGTGACTGTTGTTACAGGTGTGGTATTTTTCTCTGCAAAGCCATACCCACAGTTATCTAATTTGGCTATTTCAAAAGTAATCAGAAGCTTGCCATAAAAAGTCAGCTCTGGATTTGAATTGTCATAGTATTAAATGAAGGAGATAAGCTAAATCTTTTTAGGAAGTATGAAGTGGCCTCAAAATGTATTCGTAAGTTATTTTAGAGTGCCTAAGTTTCCAGGAAAATTAATAGTATCTCTCTACTTAGTGTAATAAGCTCCTCCATTTTATGAAATATGCCAACATATCCATGATGTATCTGCCTCGTAGCTCCCATCTCAACAATTTGCACTGCCAGGACTACACTGGGTAAGAGCTGTGCAATTCCAATTAAAGGCACTAAGGGAAGCGGGAGTCAGGACACTGGGAAGACCATGCTGCTTTGGCATCGGGCCTTTCATATTACTTAGCTTTAGCTAGAAACAAGCTCCCTCCCCTTCACAGCCTTAACACCTAGCACTTAGCATAATTTTTGTTGATAGGCTCTTCAGCCCCAGTTCAGTTACACAGCTAGAAGCACAGTAAACTGGATTAGCAATTTATCACATTTTTTTCCATCACTAATTGATGCTACAATTGTGTCAGGCTTATCAACAGGTCTTCAGTGCTGCTCAAGGAAAAAGTATGAAAAGCAAGCGCTGATCAGCTGTAAATATGTTCAGCTTTGTAAGAGTAAGACATCATCAGACAAAAGGCACACTGGTGTCAGTGAAAAAGACCAGCTGAAATGACTTCACTTACAGCTCTTCACCACGTACGGCAGGGAGATCCTCTGAGCCCTGCGCGAGGCCCTAATATTTTTCCTCCAGAATTATTCCAAAGGAATCTAAAAATTTCAGTGAATGCTGGCTACTGAAAAATGCCAGTTACAGTGGTTGTCAGTACCAAAAACTGTTTTACATTTCACTTCTGAGGTACACTCTTGTACTTTGGTGACACTGTAATGAGAATATAGTATTTCACAAGAGCAGCTTCTCAACTAAACCATACCCTAAGAAGTTACTGGGAAAAAATATCCCTGTTTTAACTGCTAGCTCTATCTCCTTTCACATATTTGGGGTCAGCTCTTCCTCATTCGGAAACGTATACTCACTGCTGATGAACTAAAACTACAGAGGAGAATGATGTGCACTACCTTCTATCTCTTGCATCATCAATAGAATTGCAAATAAGTCTGAATTTGCAACATTGAATGTCAACAGTTTTGTCCTAATTGCATCCATGAGTCAGCACGAAAACACAATAGGGCAGAACTAGTGTACAGCAGTAATAAATCCTCATTCTCTTTGACTATCAGATACTGCCATGACTGGAATGCTCGCTACTGCTAAAAAAACTCAATGAAAGAGTCCTAAACTAAAAAGATTAATTCTTTTAAATGAAAACTATGGAGATTTTCTATGATGGCATTTTTATAAAGCCATTCTTCACAGAAGAATTTTTTTCATTTAACATTAAGGGGCTTCTTTCAAGAAATCATGTGGGTTTTCTGTCAATGCAGTCCCAAGGTTTCTGCACTCATACTAGAGCACATGATTCACCTGTGGTTCTCAAAATCACTTTACAAATATTATTTTCCCTGGTTATAACAGGGAAACATATACATAATCTTTAATGCTTGGAGAAAAGGTTTTGCTTTATTTTAAACACTGAAGCCAAGTGATGAAGAGGACAAAATTCCCTGAGTAAAATCTGGAAGGTCACTGCTAAAGAACGGGAATGCCAGCAGTAATTAGAAAAAATTATTTTGACAGCCATGAATTTTCCAGATCACACAGCTTTACATCATATGCTTCAGGTATAATTTTTCCAGATATGCGTGGCTGCAGGGACTTCCTATTTTTATTATCAAGGAAGAAGAGAAGGGGAGGACAAGGAATAGGGCCAATTACTTTTATCACTTCTGAAACAACTGTAATCTCAATAGACCAGTTTCCTACAAACTCCTGAACAAAACCAGTGCAATTACAAGGGTTCAAAAATCACACAAATCCTGACTTTTAAAAGGAAGGTGACAGTGAGTAATCTGCTGAATGTGACCCTTCTGCCTCCAAGTTCTTCTGTCTACTGTGGAAAAAGACAGTGTCAGGCTAGGGGACAGGACAGGAGCAGAAGATGCACGTCAGAGGCAGGTAAATTAGTATATGACACAGATCACATGCAACAAGATCTACCAAGGCAGCGGCAAGTCTAACAACCTAATAATCGAAAAGTGTGACAGCAGTTGGCAGATCTGGGAATGACTGACTATCTAATGGTGACTGGTCCCAATAATAATGCAAATACACACTGATGTTGAGAGTGGGAACTTATTGGTACCAAACCTTCTCATTAATGCTATTATTTCCTCCTGGTAACACAAACAGTATTTCATCTCAGACTGCAGGATGCTCCTTCTATGATTTTGGTTCCCTGGTTTGCCTGTTGCTTTCTAACAGTACGCTTTTGTGATGGTGCTAGTTAGGTATAGCCATTCAGTGGGAAGTGAGCAGCACTGCTGAAAAAATATGCTCAGCAAGTTCACTAAAATCAAGCATTTATTACTCCCATGATCTCTTTTGCAAACCAGTAACACGAGAAATACAGAAATTAGCCCATGTTCACCAAATCACAAAACGTAAAAAAGTGCATTGAGTTTCTAGGTTACCT